TTGTTTTCCGCACAGCCTTATATATTAAAAGACAATTAAAAGTTTTATTTTAAAACAGGACATTGTTTTCCGAACAACCATATATATTAAAAGACAATTAAGTTTTATTTTAAAAGACGACATTATTTTCCGAACAACCTTATATATTAAAAGACAATTAAAAGTTTTATTTTAAAAGACGACATTATTTTCCGAACAACCTTATATATTAAAAGACAATTAAAAGTTTTATTTTAAAAGAGGACATTGTTTTCCGAACAGCCTTATATATTAAAACACAATTAAAAGTTTTATTTTAAAATCAGACTTTATTTTCACAACAACCTAATAATGAACAAAATAATATACGTGTCTAAGGTATTAGAAGGTATTAGAACATAAGTGAATATAATAGATTCGACTGGAATTCGAACTCGGCTCTCCGACTCCTCAATCTGAGCCGCTATCCATTATTCCACCGTGCCTCCTCTTGTGAATTGGAAAGCCCAGTTCGAATTCTAGTCGAATTCAATACATTCACTTACGTGCTAATACTCAGGGAAAGGTATGAATCATTTTCTCCCCCAGTTCTGGATAAATAGCAGGACAGACCGGGTTCTAGAGTATTGGATGGCAACTGAGCTACCGCAGAAAGAAATGGCAACCTACTACAGGAAAAAAAATCTGCCACGTCAGTCATGTATCGAAAGATACATGATTGTCTAACCGTGTATCACCCATGGTACATAACTGACTGATCACCCCATGCAAGGTAAAATTAAGAACAGAAACATTAATATGAGCGGGAAGAAGAAAGATTAATCAAGAAAACAGTAGACAGGAATTGAAATTGGATTAAAATTTTTTATGGTTAAAGTTTGTTGGAAAGCATGGAGCCAGCTGGGAGATCCACAAGCAAGAAGTGCGAGAAAAGAAACTTTTAGCATAGAATTTACGGTTACATCTAGCCAGCTCAAGTGTAAGTTGATGAGATCTCAATGCCAGTCTAATACTGCGCTTAAAAAAACCCCCCAAAAAACGCTGACAGGACATTTTGAAGAAAAGCAAGGCAGATGGCAAAAGTGTTAGTTGAAGGGAAAGTAAAAGGACAAACATTGTTAAGAGCTACAGAAGATAGGAAGTTGTGGCGAGCCATAACCAGCCGCACCCTATAAGCGCATAAAAGGAAAAAATGAAAAAAGTTTTGTGAAATTTCTGGAGAAGGTAACATGAATGAGCTTAACGTGTCAAAAGCGGGAAATTTTCGTTAAACAAAGATTCACGGTCAGTTCCAGCAACCGAAGATAATAGAGAACAAATGAAGATTTTACTTGAGGATAACTGATGTTACACGAAGCCGATAATGTCTAATATACTCAAAATATACAAGTCAAGAGCGGAAATAATTTGCATCGGCTTGGTTATGTTAGTTGCTTAATTGTGTGGCTTCCGTATAAGTTGAACGAAGATTATTTTCGCATTTAAATGCTTCGTTCTTGAATGAAATTTGGTGACTGAAATGCGAAATGAAACCTCGCTAACTGTAGCAAGACTGTGATAGTATATGCGTATGTAGTAAAAATGGAATTCACTTCTTTGTTGAGTTCATTGCTAATTCCTCATAAAGTAGTGAATACACCAAGATCGAGGGAATTAAAAGCCTTTGGAATTAGTAAAGAAAAAGGCGCGTAATATTCCACCATGATAACAAGAGGTTGGATTTTTGCGCCCAGACAAACAGCTTGGAAGTTTTCATTCACATTCAGAAGATATTGAACCAGTAAGCTACAGATTAGACTCCTGGAGGAACGGTGGGGTAATAGATTGCTGATAGAATTGAGGAATTATTGAGCCAAGTTCGAATTCCAGTCGAATTTATTACTTTCACTTACGTGCTAATACCCTTGAAAAAGGCATGAAACCGTCACTTCTCCTACCACCTATTTATTTCAGCCTCGCTTTCCTTCATGGCTTGTCCAAATTCTCTAAACCTAATTTCTTATGTGTCCAATAAATTGCAAATGTTACTTTCAGTTTCTAAATGTAGGAGGCATTTTTGCTACCATTTTCTTTAAAATGTCTTCGTTGCTCACATGTTATGTTCATGGTCTTCTTAACAACTTTCTGTAGAACCACATCTTTGATGCTTCAAGTCTATGAGAAGATTGTCTGCTTCATCTATGAGGAGATTGTTCACCATTCACTGTCATATAGGAGCATTGATATTACATAATAGTTCAGTGTTCTTTTCTTTGTTTCTAACGAAATTTTCGTGTCTCTTAATAATTTTCGCTTTTGAAAGGCATCTTTCGCTAAACCAATTCATCTTCGGATTTCTGTATCCCTTTTTCTGTCGTCTGTTATAGCACTTCCCAGATGTATCTTCTTTATTTTGACGTTCCCACTTGTAGACTTTATCTTATTTCTGTCTCTTTTGCTAATGACCATATTTTCTGTCTTCATGCAATTGATAGCTACTGTTTTCGTCGTCGTATTTTTACCATTCTTAAAATATAAAAGCATAATATGGTAAAAAATGATTTATTTTCTTAGATCTTCAGTTTTCAAATCAGTAAACAAAAATAAACTAATTTTGTTTAAATGCGCGGCGGTATGACAAGTGGTATAATACAATACGAACCTATCTTATTGAAGGAAGATAAACTGAAATGCTCCCATTGCAAAAGCACAAACATCGAATTTTTTGACCAAACAACGATATTACTTATGAAGAACAGACTGGGTCTTATAGCCTTGAAAGGACAGACTGGACAGGCTTGTATGACAACCGGTCTAGGAAAAGGAAAAACTCTGAATTCAAACCAGCCTGGAAGATCCAGAGGGAGGGACCCGAAACTAGTTAATAACACAGTACTATCTGGTATCTGACATCTGCTTTGTCTCACCTGACGTGACATACTTGTATGCTCTGTGATTGTAGGAGTAGGAAGAGTGAGGGTTGCTGTGATTCAGCGCAAACCATTGCAACCTACCAACATGTGCTAGGTTGGGTCATCCTTGATTCTCGATAGACTCCTTTTATATTATTAAGAGTTTTTTTTCACTCTTAATGAAAAAAAAAATACTGAGAAAAAGGCAACTCGAGTAGATTTTTACTGTTAAAAAAAAATTCTCCGAGGATGGAATAATGAAGTTGCCTAAAAGATGTTAATGGTATGAATAGGGTAAATAAATTTAATGTTAGAAAAAAATCCTATACTTAATAAAATTAACCCATTTGTTTTATGGGGTGTGCGCAGAAAATAGAATCAAATTCCGTCCTTGTCTGTTTTGTTCACTTTCTCACAATGTACTTGTAAAAGCATGAATCCACTTTTTTTCAACGCTAGATATAGGTTAACAGCAAGGTGAACTGGGCTCTCTAGCATTGGATCGTAACCAGTCTAGAAAGATTACTCTGTTTCCAAAAGTGTGGAGAAGACAAAGGAAAATCGCACCCCTATATTTCCCATGAAATCATAGCATTTGCAAATAATAAAGAAAAAGTGTTTGTGGAGAGCCGTTATCGTCTAAGTTCTCGGGAAATACCGAGCATAACGTGTACATTATTATTATTATTATTGTTATTATTATTATTATTATTGTTGTTGTTGTTGTTGTTTTATTTCCTTTGATTTCTGGTGTATACTCATTTCTTTCCGTGTCCCGACCAGAAACTTAAAGTCAGAAATGGCATCATGGCATTTTCCACTGAGCAGTTTTGAAAAAAAATCGCACGTATGTCTTTCGTATGGTGTGACTTGTACTTGTGAGTACAATTTTTTTTTTTATATTTCTTTAAGGCATGGGCTACAATGGGTCAATTGGAATCTTTTCCAACCAATCCGAGGGCTCCAACTACAACGTGGATTGTTGTTGTTCCCATGTGCCATATTTTTGAGATTTCGATTTCAGAATTATTATTATTATTATTTTTATTTTCTTTTATTTCTGGCGTTTACATTTTTTTTCCGGGTCCTCCCAGGGACCTAAGGTTAAAATGGCGTCATGACACTTTCCACTGACAAAAAAAAACAACAAATTACATAGATAAAGCCCTTCGTAAGGTGTGGGCTGTACTTGTCAGAACAATTTTTTGTATCTCCTTGAGGCATGGACTTCCAGGAATCCCTTCAATTAGTCTACTGCAATCTTTTCCAACCAGTCCTAGGGCTCCAACTACAACAGGGATTGTTGATGTTCCCATATGGCACATTTTCGAGATTTCTATTTCAAGGTCCTTGTATTTTGTTATTATTATTATTATTATTATTATTATTATTAATATTATTATTATTATTATTTAAGAGAGACTTTTGAAAATTCTCTACTCCACCAAGAAGAGATTTAAAACGATATTTTAAAAACCGGATTAGTCATTTGTTCAGATTTCGGAGGTGGGTGTGTAGTTGGGCCGATAACTTTTCAGTACCTACTCTCGAGTCTAGGTATTTAGAAAAGTGGGGGGGGAATATAAAGAACATGAAGAGAAATGGATATAGACAAAAACAGATAAACGATAAGAAACTTTATAATGTAAGTTGAAAAACGTTTGACTTAACAAGACATTAACACAAAACTTAACTGAAAAATTCTTTCAGAAAGAAAAAGACAATTAGAATGAGATAAGAAATTTGTAGATTAATTTTGCTTTTTCTCATTTTGTTGTAATTTGTTTTCCGATGTTTAATTCCGATTTTTCTTGCTGATCAATTGTAAAGTGAGAATAAATTAGTTTTCTAATTTGAGCTTTACATCTTATTTAAATTCCCCAGAGAATCTTATAAGTTTAATTTCTTATCTAAGATGATGCTATCATATCCAAAATGTTTTTAGACAAAATATTATTAATACTTTCAATAATATTGAGTGCTACTAAGAAGTTGTTTCATATGAAAAGATCGATCATAAGCAAAAAGAAAGAAAACGAATATATTTTTAATGCTGTTTTATTTTTAAATATTAAATTCATTAACTCTTTCTCAACAGTTTTAATGAAGACTACACACGCATATACATACATATCACGTAGAAAAACCGGGTCTCATATAGATCACCGAGGTTAAGCCAGGTGGATCCTGGTCAGTAGTTAGATGGGTGACCGCTTGCGAATACAGGCGCTGGTAAAGTTTTTTTTTTTTTTCACAATGATGTTCACCATGTACAAGTCCCTAGAACCACTCGAGGTAGAGGGTTACAGTAGGCACCTTCATTTTGTCACAGTCTAGGATGATGTAAAAAGGTTCCCAAACTTAATAAAAATAGTTTTATCGCCAAAATGTTTATGTTATTATTAAGAGGAAAGACAAAAGTATTTTTATTATTTTATTAAATTTTTTAAGCACATTCGAAATTTTGAGACAGCGATCGACGTAATACGATTAGAGTTTTAGCGCCTTTTTTTTCAGATGAGAAACGCATTGGTTTAGAAATTCTTGAAAAAATCAAATGTCGGATTTTAGTGAAACTTTCAGGACTCATTGAAAAATTAATGAAATTATTTAACATTTTATTTTTTTTAGAAAATCTTGGTAAAAAATCATTTTTGTTACACATGTTACGCCCCAGCTTAAATTCATGAAATTTCGAGAAATTAAATTTCAATCTCAAAATTGTTTTTATTAGTTAAAAGCAGGACTCCTTGGAGAATATAAATCTTTTTTTTTCAACTTACTACAGATTTCTCGAAAATCTGCTTTGAATCGTAAAATTAAAAAAAAACTAATAAAACTTTGACATTATTTGATTAGAAAAGCTTTTAAATGCTTTTATAAATAAGATTTATTAAGGTTGCTATTGTCTTAAAATTGTTTTTTTCGATGAATAATGAATTCTAACAAGTATTGTTTTCATTTTTAAAATTTTAATTATAATAATTTAGATCGTTTAAAATTCTACATTACTTTAATACGGTAAGGTGATGTTGTTATTAAGCGAAAACTATATTTACGAATCAAAAATTGAAAAGAATAATAAATAAGGTTTTGCATCAAGAATTTTATAATATTTTTTAATTTTTCTTTTATTGTAGAAACATTCCTATTTTCGTAAGTACGGGAGTCCATCACGTGTTTTAAGAGTTGTCTTCCTTGAATAATCTGTCCGTCAGCAACGCTTTCATTATTCCTTTCGGTGTTTCATCTTGTCTAGGCCTCAACAGACTTTGGAAATAATCGCTTCAAAATTTTAAACTTTAAAATTTAAAGTAATTATTACTTTTTTAATTCCTAAATATTTTTATTTCATGCATTTATTTTAATGTTGGTCACATTTCAATTAAGTATTTCTTTTTAAGAAAAAACCTGGAGACGAAACCCAATATAATTCTACTAAAAATAATTTTTAATTTAACTTAAATTTTTGTTATTCAGTTTGTATTTGAAGTTCTTATTTTTTTTTAAATTTGCGTGTCATTTTGAAATTTCCTTTCAAATTATTTTTACTTTAACTCCTATTTCAAAAAAAATGTTTTTTGTTAGTAGTATTTTTTTTTACTTTTTACTTTTTTAAAGTTTGTTCTTTTTTGTAAGAGTTATTTTGATAAAAACGTAAGGCTATAAAGCTAAAGTAACTAAAATTCAGTAAAATATTAGATAATTGCTGAAAATATTAAGTTCATTTTTAAAAATTACTAAGTAGTTAAAATCAATCCAAAGCGTTCACTTAGATTACGTAAATTTATGTCAATTTCTGGTCAACCATACTTAGTTGTCAACACCTTAGGCTGCCAATAAATCAATCAACATGTCGGAAAAATAAGACCACGTGGTTAAGAAATGCTTGTACGTTTTATGCTAGTAAGTAAGTAATATTTGTTTCAAATAAGATTAATTTAACTTTAAATTTGCTAATTTTCCTTAAATGACGTGTCACGAATATATATTTTAGTTTTGGAAGATTTTTAAAACCGAGAATAAACTTTTGTATACAAATCTGTCAAAATGGCCGATATTTATCGATTTTTATCGATTTTCTGAAAGCGACCAAAAAGATGAGATTCCAATTAATAAAATTTCTAATTGAGAGGTATGCTTACTGGAAATAGTAAATTTAATTATTTACCTTTCATTTAAAGCTAAAAGAGAAAGCTTCAAGAATGCTTTTCATTATTAAAAATTCATTTAAATCTTAGGTATCTAAAATTTAGTGGACGTCCCTAGTTACAGAGTAAGAGGCATAGTTTATGGGGATATGTGGGGAAGATAGTGGTTAACAAGAGACTTGAACTGGTTACGATTGTTGTGATCGGGGAAGCATCTTATTGGGAGTTGGTTCCAGAAAGCAGCCGTTCTTGGGAATAAGTTACCAAGTGGAACTTACTTCTCCCCGAAAGGGAATGAGTTGTTTCAATACAATGTTCATAGCATGGTGAGTCTTGGACGTGAAGGTTAAAAATGGCGAAACTAAGGAACGCAGCTCATGTGAATATTTGCCATAGAAATAGTAATAGATCAGCACGAGGCTAGCGACGTTTCGTCTATGAAAAAGGGCTTGTAGGATGGAAAATAATTTATTACCCACAAGGACGCGGGGACGTTTTTGGGCTCTATCGAGACTGGAAAATAGCATCTTTAACGATGGATCGTATCTACGACTTCTACTTGAGGCCTGTGGGCGTTCAAGGCACGGGGTCTCCCTGAGGGAATATCCGTTCATCGTGATTGGGGATAGCTCTGAGTTTGATCGGCGGTGATAGAATGTAAGTAGTTTGGTTTTCGAGGCATTGAATATAACAAGCTGGTTTCCTCCCACTGAGATGTTAGAGCTAGATCAGAGGAGAGATCAGTTGCCAAACCCTGGTCATTGAGAGCTTTGGAGTTGCACCAATATAACGTTATATCATCAGCATAGATATTCACCTATGTTCTCTAGCGTTAAGGTAGAAGCAAAGATCGAGACGAAGAGCTCGCCTTGTCTGAAAAGGATGAGATTATATTAATAAATTTCCGAGTACGAATCCATTCCTATTCCTAAAAAAACATATCATCGCATTATAATCATCATAATTTCAAATTAATGATAATAATAATAATAATAATAATAATATCCGACACGAATAAAATAAATTAAATTAAATAAAAAAAAAATAATATAAAAATAAATGAACAACTTTAAAAAATAGATAAGGATGAAAATAATATTCAATCACATAAATGACCATATACAAAAATGTGAATACACATAAATGTTAGTACTCATATAAAACAGAATCAACGCTTCAAGTGTATATTCCCCCAAATCAATGTTTTTAGGGAATATTAAATCAGTTCCTCTGTCTACACTTGAAGATAAGTTCGTTCCTTTGATTCAATAATTTCTCACCATTCTTATATTCAATCATTATAATTTTCTCTTGTATGCACAGATTGCATCTGTCCCGGATGTTGTTGGGAGTCTGAGACTAACAGATGATATCCCATTTAATTTGTGGGGTAAAGCCTCCATCTTTAAGTTTCCAATAATTTTTGGATAGAGCAGTTTGGTATCTTAAAGAAGCATTGGAGAATGAATGCCAGTGATTGTAAAGTTTCTGTTTTTAATTCCCAGCGGATATAGCTACGCTTATTATGTTTTCCTTGATATTTTCTTTTGTAAAAATGGTAGCTTGGTATACCACATTTTTCGAAATACAGATACCTCCAATTTGGCAGTTAGTTCCGCTTCTACAGTTACAAAGAGGCTTGTTTCCTGGTGTGTTGCTGTCATAAAATGTTTTTAATAATATGTTGTTGTGCGAGTTAATAATATTATATATGTTGTTAGTGCAGGAATAACTGATTTTTAGAATTTTTCTATTGAAAAATCAGCCAATATTTATATTAGATAGTTTACAGAAAGGTACGTTAGACCATATAGTCTTTCTTTTTCTGTTTTTGGATTTATTAGTTGCATTGTTTTTTCTTTAATTTCCTGGTAAAGCAATTTTTGTTTGAAATTACTTTCATTGGGGGCTTCTTTATAAGCTATTTTATTCTCATTGAAGATTTTTTGTTAGACAATAATCTATTAATTCTAGTGTTTACAGTGTTATCTAATTATGGACTTCGGGTGATTGGGTCACATCAATATAAACAGGAATTTGATTTTCTTTATGAAATTACCTAAATGCGTTGTTAGAGAGGCTGAAAGTGATATTGAAGAAATTAACTATTTTATGGTTAGATTTCAATTTTAAAACACAGAAATTGGAAAGCCCTTATAATCATTTTCTGCATTCTAGAAGACAGAAGACCGTTACTATCTTGGATGAAAGTAAGCCCATCATCTCTGTAAAGACCTACTTCTTTAGGATCAATAATTCTACTAAGAGTGTCCAATAGATAGATACCTATTAAATCAGCTAATAGGTGGAGTCATATGAGCCCATATGGACATCAAAGTTATCATTAAGACTTATAACCCAAGTAGAATTGTTATATATTAGTAAAGATTGTCTAGAAGCTAAGATAACTTAAAATTCATAATCAGAAATGTTAATATACTTTTAGCAAAATTTGAGATTTTTAATCTTTAGAAATGGTGGTGAAGAAATCTGTAATATCAAATTGGATAAAAGTCGCCTTATTTTTATTTTCAATATTCTGGAACCATTTTATAGTATCCAAATAATCTTTCCAAAGATTATTATAATAGGTTTCTTGTACAGACTGTATTATTCTTTTAAGTATATATTCTTTAAATTACGCTTAATTCCATTTTGGGATTAATTAATCATGATCGTAGATTATTGTCGAAATTAGGTTTGTGGTATTTAAAAAGCAAATATGCATTCTTTATATGTGTTTTCCCCTTTCTGTCTGCAATATCAAATTTATTAGCAAAATCAGCAGCATCTTTGTTAATTAAAGAAATAGTGCTATTGCTGATTTATTATAGTGATTTTATTGAGATGGAGTTTGTGATAGTTCGAGGGTTCATTTTTGTGAATATTTCTGGATTTATCGGCTTTAATCCACATCTTAGAATTTTTGATGTCTTTAATATTTAAAAAAAATTATATTGGAATTTATTAGATGGCTTTCTAAAGGTAATTTAAAAAAAATTAAGTTAAACATATCAGCTTTGAAGGGATCTAGAAGTTTATTATTAGGTGGAATATTTTGAGATTTTAGATTACATTTTT